GTAGTAGTCGTCGTAGTAGTTGTAGTAGTAGTAGTTGTTGTTGTTGTTGTTGTAGTTGTTGTCGTCGTTGTTGTTGTTGTTGCTGCAAAATTGTGGTAGCCGTGTGGCAGTAGCTGTTGTAGCGAAGAAGCAGCAGCGTAGCGGCAGGAGGAGGAGGAGGTCGGGACAGGAGGGGACAGGAGGAGTAGCCGCGGAGCGGCTGAATACATAAGCGGTTGGAGTAGGACTCACAATGGCAGCAATAGTTGTCGTCATCGGCGGCGTCATTGTGCATTTAATCAGGTCCATGCCACAGTTACAATGTGGTTCTATTCGTTTTGCTTACTGCTGCTTTGGCCGCTGCCGTTGCCTCACCGCTGCCGCTGCTGGTTCGTTTTGCCTACTGCTGCGGCTGCATCGCGAAGGTTGCCAGTCTGTTGGACGAAGAGGCTGTTGCAACCCCGTTGTTGCTGCAGATGATGGTGGCGATCTGGGCGACGATAAGGATCATGCTGTTCGAGACAACTGCTGCTATCATTGCACGGTTTGAGACTTTTGTTCGGGGTGGGTCAGTGGAGATAGCACCTGCAATCAAACAAGAGTCTACTGAAGACAGAGCCTGACCTTCTGGTCTTCCGCATGAACAAACTACCCACATAAAAATATGCCCAAACCACACAGCAGACAGTACCGTGGGCATGGTGCAGTCTGCTTATCTGTAACTACTAGAGCAAAGAGTTGACATGTTGTTCTGGCCACCTTGCCAGGACCCCAACCCCCGCGGTTTAGGGTCTAGGAAGCCGCTAAAGCTTTAACCCCGACCTTCCCTAACCCACGCAGGACTCACAATCTCCGAGGCCTGGGTGCGTACCGCCAATCGTAAGGAGGAAGTTCCTTAGTTCAGAACCCAAAACACTAAACCCTAACTGGGTTTTGGGCGAGGATGCTTGTATAAGCCGCAAACGATCAAAGTCTACAAACTCAAGTACCCAGGCTCTTGTCAAAATCCGTCTCAGTTTGTCGGAGCGCTTGCGAGGCAGACGTTCTGTCCAAAAGGCCACCCCCTCACAGAGCGATGGATGAACTTCATGAGGCATCTTACGGTTTAGCATATTGGACGAGGTTTAACCCCAGAAGTTGCCGAAATCAGGGGTAGCTGGGCAAAGACATGCATGATTGGTCATCTACCATCTGGGCAACTGGAGCCTGGTGCATTCTGACTGCGTAGTATATCTAAGAAGGAACGTCAAGGTATACTATGCATAGAGGGACTAAAGGGAGATAGATGACATGCGGCATTGAGAGTGAAGTTCTGCTCCGACCACCGCTGTTACGACGAGCATCAGCACCAACATGCCCGGGAGCCTAATCTCGGGGCCTTGACGATTAGAGTGGGGTTTGGGGGGTAGCTTATAGTATATATATATATATAACGATAGCAAAACAAACCTGGGGGAATATCATTCCTGACTATTCCGACCCCTAAACGAGGTTCGACAGCAACCCCTTAGTGAAAAGGGTGCCCTTTTTCCTAATGTTCGGTTTTAACAAGGAGATCCCAAATTTAAAAAGGGCAAAAGGGCAGCACTGGGGATCCAAGTAGATATTGCCCGATTAGAAGGAGGATGGCCCACTCATCACGGCCTGTTTGCGAGGCAGACGTAGCAGAGACCTGGAAGTGATGTAGGGGCCTTAATAATTAGAATACGTAGAGTTTTGGTGTATATTATACTAAAATCATGATAAAGAACACCAAAATAGCATTGGTAATTAGGCCCCTACATTTGCCGGGCAAACTATCGACTGAAGGGTTCGCGATTATTCGCTTGTCCTGTGTCCGGGGGAACTAAAGGTTAACCCTTGGGATTACAATATATATATATATATATATGTATATATATATATATATATTTATTTTTATATATATATATATACATAGATATTACATATATATACATATATTTATAGATATACGTACGTATGTATGTATGTATGTATGTATGTATGTATGTACGTATGTACGTATGTATGTAAACAGTATACATATATATAAATATATATATATATATATATATATATATACTACCGAGGGGATCTAGTACACCGAACAGACTGTAGGCTACCTACTCCTACTCTACTAGTAAGGTTAGGTTTAGGGTTTAGACCGTTTTTCAGCTCGCAAGGGTTTGGGTTTTGTAGGGTGTAGGGTAGGAGGTTCAGGAGTAGCTCTTGTTTTGCCTGGACTTTGTGCTTGTAGGGCTTTGGGCAAACGCTTCACGAGTACAGTAGTTTCAGGTAGGATTATAAGTACCTCATGCAACTGGTGACCTTACAGAGAACCGTACAAACGAAGTCTCGATGTAAACAACTTGCCTGTCGCAAGTCGGACAGTCCTGAGGAGCTACGGCGGGCCCAACGAAGAAGGCACACCCCCAACCCTGAACCCTTTTTCCCCCTACTCGAACACAGTCTGCCTACCGAAGGGTAGAACCCTGCACGTTACACCTTCAGCACCTCCGGAAACCCGGAAAACAACAACCAGAAACTAGTCTTCCTGAGAATATCGTAGAAGCATATGGCCCTAAACCCTGGCCCTAAACCAGACCTGTGCTACCCTATAGTAGTTATAACTTCCACAGTGACAGCACGCCCTGAATGCAGTATGAAAGCTTTATGCTGCTACGCCTTATGCACTTGCGGATCGGACCAATGGTGTAATGCTTCTTTCCCTCGTTTAGGGTTTATCAGGGTTTAGCCAGGAATCGATGTCTGCTGGAAGCCGAAAGATAAGCCCTCCGGAAATGCCTGTGAATTACTTCTTTTTCGCTGTCCTCACAATCTTAGCTCCCTAAGCCCTAGACAATAGTGTACCCCTTGTAGCGGAGGCTTTCGGCAGAAGTACGAAAACCGGACTTAGTAAGTAAGGTTATAAGTACCTTAACTGGCGCTATAAAAAAGAAAAGTATGAGTATCTTGTTTATAACCCTAAATACTAGGTCCCATGAACCTCCGACCAGGCTGCAGGCACACCTGAACTCAGGACCCCAAACTTCCTGAACCCGACAAGTTACTTCAACCATATGAAGCCAGAGACGTAAACCCAAAACCGCAACCCTGGACACCAAAGTCCGTTCTTTCTGAATGGTACGTACTTTGGGCTGATTGGAGCCGCCCTACATGACAAGCCCCGACAAGGACAAACGCAACCCTTTAACTTCAACCTCTAAACCAAAATAGCTAAACCCTACTCCCTAAACCCTACACCCCAAAGCACAAACACCTCAAACCCTGGAGCCCTGGAAACCCTCAGGCCTGAAGGTTTGGCACGGAAGGAGCAAACGCTGGTAGCTGAACAGATGGCACTGGGGCCATGGCGCCGCCTTCCCGGGAGATGCAGTGACGCCAAGAGTACGTATACAGCCCTAAGAATAGGGCTTTGGGGTAGATGACAGTATAATTAACCCTAAGGGGAATGAAAGGGAAGGGTTATAGAAGGGATCTACAGGGCTTCCTTCGAGGCATCCTTGAGGTTTCTGCATTAAGGGTTCGATAAGGGATCGTTTGCAAGGATTCCTTCCTTGGTTTTGCAAGGCTGCCGGATTTCTTAAGGGGCATCTAAAGGACCTTCTTCAAGGATTCCTTCCCGACTACCTGCAGGATCTATAGGGCTGCCCGTATGGATTCCTCCAGGGTTCTAGTGATAAGGATCTAGATGGCTTTCTGCAAGCTTTGCGAGATCTATATGATTTTGTTGAAGGATGCTGAGGGGTGCTATAAGGCTTGTTTAAAGGATTCCTTCAGGGTGCTACACTGAAGGCACCTATGAGGGATCGATTTTAAAGGTTCCTTTAGATTTGCATGAGGGGTCTATAGGGGCTTCTGATTGAATTGCCTGAAGAGTTCTACGGGGATCTATGTAGGGATTTAGTGGCGTGGAGGTTACTTTAAAGGAACCTTTAGAGTTTGAGACCCTAAACCATCAGCACTGAAAACCCAATAATATAGGGGCCTTAATTATTGGAATAATGTTTGGGATATATTATACTAGAGTTACAATAAGGAACCCAAAAATAGTATTGGTAATGATTTAGGCCCCTACATTAGATCATGAATCCCTTGTAACATAGAACGAAAAATTGAAGGGTTCCTCTACGGGTTCTCTCGAGGGAGCTACAAGGGTACTACTGTTGATGATATAAACCCTGCATGACCTTAAGTTCCCTAAACTATGGGAATTATGATATCTTCCTTGTTATGGGTAATGCAGGATTGATATCATCAACCGTATAGGCTTCCACATTTGTGTTTCTATTCGCCGTCTTATTCTGCGTCCTCTTCATCTTATGATGATGCTGACGACAACTATCAATATTGGCGCATCAGTATTGTCATTTTTCTTCCTCTCCTTACTAGCTCTAAACCCTAAACGACTAACCTCCAAACCCCTAAACCGGCTGGTGCTTGCCTGGGCCAGGGAGAGGCTCAGCGGGCAAAGGCCGCGGTGGGACGAAGGACTGTGCCTGAGCGCAGAGATTAATCTGGGCTTGCTTTTGGCTCTGGCTTTAAGACTTACGCTTTGTACTTAGGGATTTTAGGGATTTTAGGGTTTAGGGTTTA